CGGGACCCATCGACAGTAGAAAGGTAGAAATTTAAGACGAAAATAATGAAAATAAAACGGCTGTTGCGACCCGACCTGATTTCAGTTCAGACTATTTTAAAATGGTCATTCAAAACCGGTAGCCTGAATGCTTTGATACTTGATGTGTATGTACCTTGTGTTGACATCTACTAGATTTGTTCATCCCATGGCCATATCTTTAATTCTCCAATTTTGGCAAATATTTTTGTCATTTTTGGTTAAAAATGGAATTTCAACTAACCACTATTTCCAATGCTTTAGTGTTAGGCATACATGTGTTTATTATTCCATTAACAACTTTGTGTGGTTGTTTGGTGATATTTCATTTAAAAGTACAAATTTAAACGAAAAGTTGTGACATATACAACACTAATCTTTTGTACAATAGCCGCTCAGAAACAGGCCATTGGCCTATTTTTTTAATCATGTCAGCGAAGCATACAATGTGTGAGCCATTGTGGTCACCCTCTCTCTCTCTGTTTGTATGTATTACTGTTAAAATGATGTTTTAAGGTGATATGCTACCATTATAAAAATACTAAGAAATTCTTGAAATCCAGTATAATGGGTTCGTTACTATAAGGTTTAAAAATGTGGTCACCAAACTAATTTTCCCACAAAATGGCTTCGAAAATTGATAAAAAAGTGTTTTTGAACAGTTTTTCATTGGTTTCTGTGGCAGATACTTTCCGTCATAGTTAGTGGTTTCATCATATCGTACGAGGGCCAAAAATTCCTGTTATGAAAAATGGGAAATTTTTGAATACTAGTATGGCATCCCTAATCCCATACTTTTTGGACAATTGAGAAGCAAAAATTCATCATATGTGTAGATGCTCTAATTAAAACCGCATCCCCTCTATTGTATTGTACCATTTTAATAGAAGTTTTGTCTCGGAAACACACCCCCCGGGAAAGAGTTTCGCCATGTTCTCTGTGTAATTAGTATTCATATGCAAGAGTTTTTCCCACACATAAACAACAAATTCAGTCAAATTTTATTAGCGGTTGGCTTAATTTTACCCCAATGAATCATTTAGCTGTGAAAATTTGTTTTTCCCTCGATTTGTAGGAAATTGAAAAACACATTTCTCAAATTGTCTCTTTATTCAGTTTCAAGTCATATTCAAGATGGCTGCCCCCATATAGTAAATATCAGCAGATTAATAACATTTATTTTATTATCACTTTCGCTCCAGCTGACTATAAATTTGACATACACTTTCCTTTCATTTCTTCCTGGCACAATTTTTTCCGTATTTACCAGTATTAGTCATATTTATAGTCATATTTGTAACTTGTCACAATATATATTGTGGATGATACTGCACGACATTTAATACATGTATCCAGATTCATTCAGACATTCCATTATTTCACCTGGTATATCAACAAATTATACCTCTTCAACTAAGTTATACCAGTATTCAATCGTAAACAAAATAATTACAGTACAAAGTCACATTCCCCCAGACATTCCATTATTTCAACTTGTATATCAATATATTATACCTGTTCAACTAAAAGTTATATTCAGTCGTAAACAAAATAATTACAGTACAAAGTCACATTCCCCCAGACATTCCATTATTTCAACTTGTATATCAATATATTATACCTGTTCAACTAAAAGTTATATTCAGTCGTAAACAAAATAATTACAGTACAAAGTCACATTCCTTCAGACATTCCATTATTTCAACTTGTATGTCAACATATTATACCTGTTCAACTAAAAGTTATATTCAGTCGTAAACAAAATAATTACAGTACAAAGTCACATTCCTTCAGACATTCCATTATTTCACCTGGTATATCAACAAATTATACTTCTTCAACTAAAAGTTATACCGGTATTCAATCATAAACAAAATAATTACAGTACAAAGTCACATTCCCCCAGACATTCCATTATTTCAACTTGTATATCAATATATTATACCTGTTCAACTAAAAGTTATATTCAGTCGTAAACAAAATAATTACAAAGTATTCAGTATGATCATACTTTCCCTGTCAGCTATAGAATAGCCTTTAAGTGTACACAGCTACATGTACAGTACAGTCTAAATGTAACTTAACATTCAGCTTGCTTTTAGCTGGCTTATAGCTAGCTTACCTTGCTTTCAAAAACATCTGATATCTAAATTGTGTAGAGTAATCTACCTAAAATGTCTCATATTAGTAATATAAGTAAATACTATTATTATACTTCTGTTACCGTAACGCCATAAAAGTTACAGCATGCCGTAATATCGTTTAAGGAAATGCGAATTCCAAATGTGGAATGATTATGTGCGTAAGCGTCATCTAATAATAAAAACAAACATGGCTGCCATCAGAGATTGACCGGACTCCACACAAAGAAGTTTGCTGATTCTGTTCTGAACTTTTTGGATTTAGGCAGTCCCATGATGTATCCTTGGGAGGACAAGATGTATAATAATAAGGTTATTACCAGAATACCTCAAAGTACGCACTCAGACAGTATGCCGCGCGTCGACCTCTGCTGCGCGTCGAACGATACTCCAGCTGTACTGTCTTCGTGCATACTTTGAGGTATTCTCATAATAAACTTGTACATGTATTATAAAGAATATTAAGTTTAAAATATGAGTGACAATGGTACTCCCTTTAAAATTGTACATTTTTATGAAAAGGTGAAGCCAGCTCATAGCCAGCTCGGAAGTTAAGTTATCCTAAGACTGTTCTGTAGTTTGCTACGAAAACCATGTCGTCTTTATTTAAATAGGTGAAAAACATGTATGATAATAGTAATTAGGTTGTCACACAAAGTTTACACTTACCCATTGGTTTCTACAGTAAAAAGATTTCATCAAAACTAAAAATCAATTGTACTTTATTTCAATCATGGTTGTCTTAAATAAACTATTAGGAAAATCTGTCAAATAGTATTTTTTTTAATGGAATAATTGTTTAACATGAATTCCTGAATAAAAATAATTACCAAATAGACCAAATTTTACACCCCCCCCCCCACAAATAGTTAAGTTCTAAGTAAAAGAGACCAAAATTGAATTACTTGTGCATTGATGAAAGAATGTCATCATTATTTTTGCTATTTAATATGTTTGGTGCGAACAACCTTAATGTGAACAAGTTTATTTTTTATCATCACTATTTCTTTTCTGTATAATTTTACACATAAAGTACCCTTTAAATTCCCATTTTGCATGCGCATACTGAAATTTAATGTGGGTAGGTCTGATGTCATGAGAGGTTGAAACAAAAACAAAAATACTGTATTTGCTCTACCAGAAGCATGTCAACAAAGGCTCGCATGATACAAAAGCAATTCAGTTGTGCGTACACCGTCCTCGTTAAATAATCTTTTTAACTGCTTCTCAGGAGCTTCTAAATTATGCAATAAATGTTTAAAAATGCAAGTATCGATTTTCAACTGAGATTTTTTAATGACAATAACGAGGTAGTGCCACTTGTAACGAGTAACCATTCTGTAGCTGTTACATTAATTGTGTTTAATATTAAAAGTGCCATTAAAGTGAAAGATGAAGACTACATGTAGTTTACCTCACGGGAACATGCTTTTTGACTCCCATGTGCGAAGCACATAATGGAAGTCTTTGCAGTTAGTGTGTCTGTGTGTGTGTATGTGTGTATGTGTGTCCGACTGTTCCACTGCTATCTCAAGAACCATACATCGGTTTTTGATGAAACTTGGTGCATAGATGCTCTGGGCCAATGCGCAGATTTGATAAGGTTTTGGTAAAAATCCATGCTCGTTAATTACCTAATTTGCATGATAATTAGCCAATTTTTAGCTGTTCTATGACTGTTCCACTGATATCTAAAGAACCACTCATTGGATTT